AGGAATAAGATCCTCCGGAAAAGGGCGCTTTTTCCGGAGGATCGGGGCCAGTGTAGACGCTCTTTTCCGGCTTTTCTAAAAGCCGGAAAAAAGCGGCGGACATTTTTATTTAAATGCCGCGGGGGATATTTAAATCCCCCGCGGATTTCCCTATTACGACCTGTAAAATTAGCATGCCCCTTTCGGAAAAGGGGCCAGTGTAGACGTAGCCAGAAGGATTCACCAATGAGTTGGGGAAGGGGGCTAGAAACAAAAGATAGACTTCTGAGGCATCTGTCATCAGTAGGTTCCATTTGCCCTGAATATGGACACTGATACTCTAATTCAAGCATTGTATATTTTCCTCTTCTAAGGCCCCGCAGTAAGTGTGGAAAAGAATCACCGAGATAAGTAGTTTTACCTGACTATGTCCTTACCAGGCAGAAAAAGGAACAAAAATGTCATTGCCAGTTGTTAAATTACTATACACTATATAATATCAGGCAGAACCACTCTTAACATGTTAAAATAGCTGCAAAATACTCAATGTGCCTTACGAAAAATCTCTAGTCTGTACTTTGCAAAGAGAATCCTTATTAAATAACAGCACAATTTTTTAAAAGCCCACTCTAAACAAATGCAATTCAAATTATATTTATTTTAGCTAGGATTTCTATAAGATCAGTAAACCCAACAGTAATATTGCCTACATTTATCACTTTGAACAAACAGTATAAAATTACCTGGAAACATCAACCTAACAAAATCTTGAATGGAAGACTACATTTATTTCCCTTTGGACTCCTTCCAGATTCATTATAAATAAGAGTGCTGTTTGATATGTGTATTTTGCTCTAATGCCTACTGTATTTTAATAATACATTTTAAGATTAATTGTTAACTTCCTAGAATATCAATCTGCCTAATATTGGGTCCTGTAAACTGAATGCCAACAGTACTTGGATTAATCACAAACCTGGTGTTTTTTCTAGCCTGGAGTCTTGAGTGAATCGAACTGTAGTTTGACCAAATGGGATCTTTTTCATTCCTGTTGTTCTCTTCAAGGATTCAAGAGCAGAGCGTGGTTCATTATATGTGCCAGGAGCTGGGGTGATTGATTTCACATCTACAAATCTCTAGAAAAGAAGAGGAAAAAATTATGCCAATGACAACCTGCAGCACATTTAGAAGAAACTACATGGGTAGAAAGTGTTCACATCAGTATAGCAATATAAAGGGTTTCATTTCTCTCTCTCTGAAGTCAACGTAATTTATATAAAGTAACTAGGGGAATGTCTACACTACCACCCTAGTTCGAATTAGGGTGGTAATGTAGGCAACCGGAGTTGCAAATGAAGCCCGGGATTTGAATTTCCCGGGCTTCATTTGCAACTCCGGTTGCCTACATTACCACCCTAGTTCGAATTAGGGTGGTAATGTAGGCAACCGGAGTTGCAAATGAAGCCCGGGATTTGAATTTCCCGGGCTTCATTTGCAACTCCGGTTGCCTACATTACCACCCTAGTTCGAATTAGGGTGGTAATGTAGGCAACCGGAGTTGCAAATGAAGCCCGGGATTTGAATTTCCCGGGCTTCATTTGCAACTCCGGTTGCCTACATTACCACCCTAGTTCGAATTAGGGTGGTAATGTAGGCAACCGGAGTTGCAAATGAAGCCCGGGATTTGAATTTCCCGGGCTTCATTTGCAACTCCGGTTGCCTACATTACCACCCTAGTTCGAATTAGGGTGGTAATGTAGGCAACCGGAGTTGCAAATGAAGCCCGGGATTTGAATTTCCCGGGCTTCATTTGCAACTCCGGTTGCCTACATTACCACCCTAGTTCGAATTAGGGTGGTAATGTAGGCAACCGGAGTTGCAAATGAAGCCCGGGATTTGAATTTCCCGGGCTTCATTTGCAACTCCGGTTGCCTACATTACCACCCTAGTTCGAATTAGGGTGGTAATGTAGGCAACCGGAGTTGCAAATGAAGCCCGGGATTTGAATTTCCCGGGCTTCATTTGCAACTCCGGTTGCCTACATTACCACCCTAGTTCGAACTAGGGTGGTAGTTAGACATACCCTAATATCTTTAATCTATCTGGACATATAGGACCTGATCTTCAAAGAAGGGAACAAGTACTTGCATGTTTACCAAGATTCAGCTTCTGTGTATCTACAGTCACTTGTATATCTGATAGTCTGCACAGATATGTCCTCAATCTGCACATGCACAAGTGGTATAGGTCCAGGTAATAACACACACCCAACTTTAAAAATCAGACTCCTCATACACAATTTTTATTATCATTTTCTGTATTGTATGTACACACACATACAGCTATTCTTTATGGACACTAAATATCTCCTTTTATTGGACTAGAAGACTATAATGGTATAATTATCCAGAAATTTGGCCTCTTCTTTCCTGTTCTGCCTTATGTTATGTACATACGTGTGTGTGTGTGTGTATTTGAATTACTTCACACATGCACATGCACACACTTACAGCTATATTATCAGCCAGCCAAAACACAACACAAAACAGAATAGGAAAAAGAGGCCAAATTTCTGGGCAAGCACACCATAAGACGAAATATTTACTGTCCACAAAGAATGGATAGGGGATTACTTTCAAGTTTTCATCCAAAACATCTAAAAATAGTGGTGGTCAATTGATCAATATTGGAAAGATCAAATTTAATAGCAGAACTAAAGGTATGTCTACACTACAGCATTATTTCAAAATAACTTATTTCAAAATAGTTATTTCAAAATAACGCATCTACACACAAAATGCATTTTGAAATAGCGTTTTGCTATTTCGAAATAGCGCATCCACACTTAGTGGACTCTGAATCACATTTAAGACTGGCCGGAAACAGTTCCAGCAGGGCAGCAGGTCAGGACTTACTGTGTGGGGCTGCTGCCTGAGGCTAACTGAGGTCTGTGCTTAAAGGGTCCCCTCCCCCGCCCCGGACAGCCTGTTCTCAGGTTTCCCTGCTTGCTTGTCTACCTCGATGAGGGACAGCAAAGCATTTTTGTCATGGCATGCTCTGGTTGCCCTCACTCGGGACATCACACCACTTTGCAACATGGAGCCAGAGTTGTCCCTGGGCACTCTGGTGCTTCTCTTGGACACACTGCTGCATGGCTGGCTGCACTTGCTGCAGGCTGCCATCTGGGGGGGTCCATCGGGGTTTGTCAGGATCCAGGAGGCCCTGTGGGAGAGCATGCACCCCGAGGAGCCCTCAGAGCCACCCTGGTCCTCCCCACCGGGGGCTCGTGCCCCATTCCTCCCTCACGTCCTTCCACTTACTCCTCCCTAGCCCCCTTCCTGATGTCAAATAAAAGACACATATGTTCAAAAATAGAAACTGGGTTTATTGAACAAAACTGGGGGAGAATGAACCTCTGGGGAGACTGGGAAAAGGAGGTGGAAGGGGGAAACCTGGGAGGAGGGAGCTGGAAGGGGGAAGCAAGAGGAAGAAGGTGGAGGGGAAGCTCAGGGCCTAGGGTTGGGGATTTCGCTGGACCAACTTGATTTTCATGCAAATCTGCTCCTGGGTTCGCATGTGGCCTTTGGTGGCCAGGCTGGAAGCTATCCTGCCATAGACGGCCGCATTCCTCCATGCACTGGAGTGCAGGAGGCAGCATGCTCTGCACCAGGGTCTGCAGGTGTTGGCAGATGGCACGGCCCTGGGCAAGCTGCTCCTGCCGGAGTTCCAGGTCTTCCTGCACCCAGTTCTGGAGGGAGCAGTGCCCCCAGGTGCTGCTGTCGGTATCCCTCCACTGCACGGGTGGTCCTGTAGAGCCCTCGGGTGCAGAAGCATGTCCTGGGCGGGGTGGTGCGCCCTGCAAGCACAGCTGGTGCAGCTGTGGAGAAACAAGAGAAGTGGTCTGTTATCCCTGTGGACGCAGTGGGTGAAGCCCAGCCCCCCTCTGCAAGGTGAGGATGACCGTTCCCTGCACCATCAGAGCCAATGTGCTTGCACACAGGCCATCTTCGGAATGTCCTGCTATCCCCGGGAGTGGGAGCTGCCCCAAGACCGCACCCAAGCCCCTGTGCTGTGTATAATGTAGTTGGGGGGGGGGAGATGTCCCCTGCCTCTGTGTAGAATGGCCTTATGGAGGAATGGTGTCCTGCTGTGTCCCACCCCTGGGTCAGGAGCATGTCATGTCTCTTCACACACGTGTGTGGCTAACAAGCCACAGCCCCTATGTGGCATCCAGCTGGGGCAACGTGCCCAGGCGTAGCATGGCACATGCTCGCACAAGCACAGGTTGCTGCGTGATCCGTGGTAAGCAAGGACCACGCGCGCGGTTCCTGGTCTCCCTCCCCGCCCCCCAATAAGGGGACAGTGATGGCACTCACATGTTGTTGCCTCCCCGGATGACACTGGTGACGGGTTTGCTGGAACGGCTTGAGGGATGAAACTCTGGTGAGACTGGGGAAAGGAGGCAGGAGAGGGGAGAAGAGAAGGTGGGAAAGGGGAGGGGGAAACCTGGGAGGAGGGAGCAGGAAGGGGGAAGCAAGAGGAAGAAAGGGGAGAGGAAGCTCAGGGCTCAGGATTGGGGGTCTCGCTGGGCCAACTTGATTTTCATGCAGACCTGCCCCTGGGTTCTCCTGTGGCCTTTGGTGGCCAGGCTGGCAGCTATCTTGCCATAGATGGCTGCATTCCTCTGTCTAGTGTGGAGATCATGGACATTGGAGGCATCCCCCCAAACCTCAATCAGGTCCATGATCTTCGCACTGGACCAGGAAGACACCCGCCTTCTCTGGCCCCTGGCATGCTTCTGGGAGCTGGGGGACTGAGCCCGGGGAGCAGTGGAGGGCTGGCTAGCACTGGCTGGCTGGCTCATGCTGTGGCCACTGGGTCAGGGGCAGTGACTGCTGGCTCTGTGCTGGCAGGCCTGGAGCTGGCACAGGCACTGTGGCCAGAGTCTACCCCTCTAAGGGCTCCGGGGCTGGGGGAGAGGAGAGGAGTTTTCCTGGTTTGGCCCAGAGTGGCCGCCGGGGAAAGGGGGAAGGGCTGTAAGCATCTACACAGCACTTATTTCGAATTAGCTATTTCAAATTTGGCGTTATTCCTCGTAGAACGAGATTTACCAAATTTGAAATAAGCGCTCCACTATTTCGATTTAATTTCAAAATAGCAGTTTGGCTGTGTAGACGCTAGGAAAGTTATTTAGAAATAAAGGCTGTTATTTCAAAATAACTTTGCTGTGTAGATATACCCTAAGAGATTATCCCACTTTTCTCTACCTCCTGCCCCAACTAAATTGAAATGAAAATGTGAACACCAGTGGACAGAAATTTAAACATGCAGGGATTAATTTTCAAAAGGGCCCAAATAACTTAAGGCTTGTCCACAAGGCAAGTTGTCATGCTGCAAGCCAGGATGTCAATTGACGGCACACCAACTTGCTGTGCAGAGATGGTCCAGGTGGACACTAATACATGTCAGTGAAAAGCAGGGAATAGCGTAAGATGCATAAGTCCCACTGAAAGTCAGCATGCTCCTGTCACTTAATGTGTTTTTTGAAAATACTAACCACAATTCTAATTATGTAATTAAAGTCCTAAGGAAGAGAAGGTTATTCACTCTGTGCAGTAACCAAGATTCTTTGAAATGTGTTCCACTATGGGTACTGCACAGTACGAATGGTAGCACTTCCTGTGCCTGGGATCAGTGCCTGTTGTGCTGAATCCGTGAGTCTCTTCATCTTGCACCATGAGCAGCATCTAAGGCTACATCTAGACTGCAAGCCTCTTTTGAAAGATCCTTCTAGAGCATCTAGACCACAACCAGTACTTTCGAACACTCAGGCACTCTGGCTGCTCTCTTTCGAAAAAGAACACTTTGCATTACATAGCGCCTTTTTTCGAAAGAGCACTTTCGAAAAAAGGCATTATTCCTCATAAAATGAGGTTTTCCATGGTCAAAAAAACTGCTGCATTCTTTCAATTTACTTTCAAAAGAACGCAGCAGCAGTCTAGACGCAGGGGAAGTTTTTCTGAAAAAAGGTCATTTTTTTCGAAAAACCCCTGTAGTAGAGAGCAAGTGGAATGCATTCAGGTTCCAGGTGGGAGTTGCAGTTTGTGTCATTTGTACCAAAAGTAGATTAACTCCAAAATCCATTTAAAAAAATGCTACAGTAAAACTCCAATTGTCCAGCATCCAGTTGTCTGGCACTCCCAATAGTCCGGCATCCACTGGAACCCGGAAGTGCTCCAGTCAGCCCCTCTCACGACCGGGCCACTGTGAGCAGCGTGCACATTCGCGGCCCCGCACCATTCCGCTCATGGTCCCCAGTGTACACAGCGTCCATCCTGCACTTGCTAGCAGCTGGCTGCTGAGCACAGGCAGCTGCCTTGGGTCCCAGTCATAAGATTGCAGAAGAAGGCGGGCTGGGTTACAGCAGGGATGGGAGGCGTTTGGCTCTGAGGAAGGGGAAGGGGACAGGAGGGGAGGGGAGGAGGATTGGGTTGGGAATATGCCCCCTTATAGTACCTCTCGGTACTCCGGCATATCCGATAATCCGGCACCACCTAGGTGCCAAAGGTGCCAGATTATCGGAAGTCTACCATATTTGAATATGACTGATCCCTTTGATTTCTCTACAATGAAAAGGAAATCTCTACATTCCCTACAACGGAAAGGAAATCTTTCAGACAATTGCCATGTCTGAAACTGTCTGAAAGATTTGTTTCTTCCTAAGTAAAAGAGTTAATCCAATGAATAACCTGAGCAGGCAGTTTCCCAATTAGGAAGAGCATGGGGGGAAAAGTAAATTGTCACGAGCTAAAGAATAACAGAATGGAAAGAGCAACCAATTGTTTTTAGGGGAAAGAAAAGTTAAAGGACATGGCTAGTATCTACAACTATTACTGCTATTATTAAAGACTAGCAGGATTCCATCCTAGATCAAAGGAAGTTCAGAAGGCACTGAAGGTATCTAGACCACACAACACTAAATAGACTGCTCATGGCACAACATAGGAATCAGCACATGTGCAGCCCAGCTCCCTGCGACAGGGCTGACAGCACTTCCTAGCAGAACTGTCCAGCAGGGCTGGAAGGCTGGTGCAATGCAGAAGGGCTGCCCAGAAGGACCAGGAGCCCAGCACACCACAAAGGGGCTCAATGGGGCTGCTCAGAGTAGCAGGAAAGGTGGGGAAGGACAGGGCATTGGGGCTGGTGCCAGAGGGGGATCCAGCTGAGAGGCCAGCAGCCAGTTCATGGCTGGGGGACCCTGTAACAGAGGGGCCAGATATGATCTCCCTTCATCTGGCAAAATCTCCCATCTGGGGTGCTGGACCAGGGAGGTCCAACCTGTATAGTTTTCATATTAGTTCTAAGTCTTTCCTTACAATTTAAGAAGTCATATTCTAAAGGTCTGAAATGTAGTAGATGATCATATAGTCATGAAATATAACCCCTGATGTGAACAATTAATTAGCAGTAGTACTATGGTTATATCCAATTAGTCTACATATATTTTATACACATAGATTAAAGAGGTAGCTGTGAATCGGACATTAATATAACACTATTAAGGGATTTTGGTGATATCCAGTGGTCAGCAACCTATGGCTCACTAGGAAGCCAGACATGGCTCTTCTGGAGCTCCAACTCATCCCCCACCAACTCCCCATGCAGCAGGGAGCCGGCGCTGGTGCTACAGACTTACGCAAGAGAGGAATGCCAACAATGGCTTCCTGCAGGGAGGGTAGAGATAGGGGGAGAAAGCCCCAAGCCTTCCTGCCAGATCCAGCATGCTGGGAACAAAATGGATCTGTTCACTGCCCTTTTCCTTCCCCCAGCATGTGGGGAACCAGGAACCAAAAATGGCTCCAGTGCACTGCTATTTTCTTTTCCCTGGGACACACATCCTGCAGGCTTCCTTTATGAATCTTTCCTGGTGAATGGGAGCAGCAGGAGGACACATTACACGCAGCAGAAAAGCCCCCCAAAATCCTCATGCCCAGACCCCGTGCCTCTCCTCACTCACCCCTCCAGCCAGACACCCTGTCCCCTTCCCACCCGGCCAAATACCCTGCCCCCAGCCCACTCCTGCCCCCTACTCAGACACCTGCTCCCTCCTCCCGGCTAGACAGCTTTCCCTGCTCCTGCCCCCTCACCAGCCAGACACCCTACTTCCAGCCTACTCCTGCACCCCACCTCCCACCCAAACCTCATACCTTCATCCCCTCCAACATCCAATCTCCTGCCCAGATTAAGGATGTTAAGGATTAGTCGACTATCCGATAAGCAAAAGCTTATAGAGCAGGCCCCAGGCTACATGAGGACCCTGCCTTTCACACTGACAGGCATGAATAGAAAGATTAAGGCAAGACTACACAACACACAGGCCCCATTTAAATCAGTTCTGCTGATATTAATATAATGCAACATTTACCTGATTTCCACCCATATGACAGCACTTGTAATGAGCAATGACAGTCCAGGAATTTAACTACTAAAACACATATCAACAGAAGACCATTATATTGACGACTTTTTTCTTTTGGCTCCCACCCGTGAGCCACATAAACCCAAACTGCACTGAGCTACAAACAAATGGGCTGCGTGCCGCATGCTGAGTAGCCCCGATCTAGATGGTGCTTGGCCCTGCTGTGGGGAGGGGACTGGACTCGATGACCTGTCAAGGTCCCTTCCAGTTCTAGTATTCCATGATCTGTCTATCTATGAAAACAAGTATCGCATAGTCTTTGTAGCTGGCAGAACACTGAGATGGCATCAGATCCTTCTTTCATGAATTGCCTGTTCATTGTTTTGCATTGCAGCCTGCAGCTGCCTTAGCATTTTAACTCAAAAGGCCTTTTCCAGTTTTTCTAAAATTTTATCAAAGTTCTGTTTCTGGTACTGCAAATATCCAATTTTGGCTTCTGATCAAAAGTGAATATCGCGGAAAGTCTAAGCAAGAACTATTTAAGCCATTTTAGAGAAAGATTGAAAATATTTATCATTATGAAAAAGTTTCAACTATTTTTAGTATCGCAGAAGTAAAGGATAGAAACTTCAGATTTGGCACAGATGTACCAGACTATATACTGTATGAACCTTTTACAAGTTCTGTAAACACTTTGAATGTGCAGATAGAAGAATTTGAAAAAAAGTATTTTGTACATGTGCACTGATTTACCATAGCCAAAAAAAGTTTCATTCACCACCTCCCAGAATTATATTCACATAGGACAATCCTGATTAATGGGAGTAATTTTAAAAGATTTTACTGTCTCTGAAAGTGTAGCTGGAACCTCATCCATATTTTATTTGGAAATGTGTACAAAATGAAGTGGATTCGTCTATGTGTGTATTTATGTTTATATGCATACATACATATATACAAACACACACAGAGAGAGAGAGATAAGCATATCTACAGTATAGACATCTATCTTCACAAAAATCTACATATACTTTTATACATACACACACACACTAGGGTTGAGAACTTTCCAAATGAAGAAAACCAAACATTCCCTGCCTCACCCCTTCCCAAGGCCCCGCCTCTACCTCATCCCTTCCATGGCTCACTCTCCCCAAACATTCACTTTCCCCAGGCTTGGCAGGAGGATTGGGTGTTGGCTCCTAGCTAGGTTCAGAAATGAGGGGTTCAGAATATGAGAGGGGGCTCCAGACTAGGACAAGCGAATAGGGTGAAGGAGGAGCTGAAGGCTCTTATTGAGGGTGCAGGCTCTGGGGTACTCTGGGTGCAGGCTGTGGATGGGAGAAGAAATGAGGGGTTTAGAGTATTAAAGGAGAATCCGGGCAAGGGCAGGGTGTTTTGTTCAGGAGGAGCTCAGGTAGGAGGTTAGGGCACAGAAGGGGATGCGGGCTCCATGCAGTGCTTATCTCAGGTGGTTTCTGGCAGCAGCTGGCATTTCCCTCCAGCTCCTAGACAGAGGCGTGACCACAAAGACAATGTGCACTGTCGCAGTCTGCAGGTTCTGCCCCTGCAGCTCCCACTGGCCACAATTCCCAGCCAATGGGAGCTGCAGAGATGGTCACTGGGGCAGAAGGACTGTTCAGAGCCCTCGTGGTTGTGTCTCTTCCTAGGAGCAGGAGGCAAATGCCAGCTGCTTCCTGGAACCACATAGAACCAGTGCAAGTAGAGATCCTCCCATAGCCCCACTGTGCTGCCAACCAGACTTTTAATGGCGCAGTCAGCAGTACTGGGTGTTCCAGTCCAAAACCGGACACCTGGCAACTCTAATATACACACAGAGCCATCCCAATCATAGGACAATTCAGGGCAGCTGACCTAGGCACTGCACTTTTGGAACCCTATGGCACTTTACTTTCTGCCATTAGAGAGAAGCAGGATGCAGCCAGTTGGGAGAGGGTGGCACAGCGGGGAGGAGCAGGCTACCTGGCTGCTCAGACTCTCACCTCCTCACTGAGCATGGGGGGAGGGCGAATGACCCCTGCAGCTGCTCCATACCAGGGCCTCTTAATCCCCCATCTTGTGTTGCTTTGGGGAGGGATAAAAGGGCAGAGCACGGGCAGGACTGGGGGAAGGGATGGAACGAAGGCAGGAGAGATGGAGCAGAGGCAGAGTGGGCAGGGCCTACAGCTGGGGGGCCCTGCTCTCCCCTGTACACACACACACACACACACACACACACACACACCAAAAGAGAAAATCACTTACTAATCATGGCTCACAAAACAATTATAATCTCTTGTGGATTATGCTGCTAATTACTTTTCCAGATACTTTGAAAGTACAAGAAAACACAGAAGTAAAACAAAATATATGCTGCTGCCATTTACTTTGGATTGTGAAAGAAAAGGCGCACGTGGGACTTCATTTCCATTTTGTGTTGCATTCTCCACTTTCTGAAACTGACTTTTTATTTCATATTGTCCAGGTCCTGGAACACCCTGATGGACATAAAGAGAGAAATACTTAACATCTATTTAAAAAAGTATCTACAAGCATAATTAAGGCAAGGGCACAACTAGTTAAATATCTGAAACAAACTCACCCAAGTTAAAAGTGCACACTCACTATGAAATCACTTAATTAAAAGAGAAACCTAAAGCAACTGTTAAACAACAAATAAAGAAAACAAGCAAAAATCTTGTGACAGACTTTCCAAGATCTCAAAAAGAGATTCCCTGCAACTTTGCTGCCCTCTATAAAAAAGCTCAGTACTTTAGCCTCAAGCAGTACACACCATATTTAAATAATTTAGAAACGTACAAATATTTAGTATTTTGTGATTTTATTCTTGTTCTATTTAGAGGGATTTTTCTACCTTATTTATGAATCATTTTTCTTTACTTTTTTTTCATTTCATTGTTTAATTTCACTATTTGATACTTAATATAATCTGTTTAATAAAAAAAATATTGCTTTCTGAGCACAAGGCTGCATGTACTTAATTAGTGTACGCTAGATGTAGGTATTCCTTTTAGTGACCAGTTACTAATTATTCATTGGCTAGTTCTATACGTGTCTTCCGTTTTACAATATAGGAAAGATTTTGCATCTGCAGTATTCATTTACATAATTGCCACGTAAATTTTACATAATTCAAGAGTTACAATACATTCTGGATTTCTAATAAAAGGAAGCAGGCCTGCTCTATAGGGATGAACAAGAAACTAATTAAATGTAAGAAGCTTTAAATCAACTAAACACGGTAAAAAATATTACATGGTTAAAGAAGATAGAAAAATAACTCTGAAATTAATCAATTACAGTAATGACAGTGACATTCTGCTTCTTAGCCTATATTTGGATTATAAATGATTCAAAGCAGAAAATTAAACAAGTGATAATAAACACTTTACTGGAAAAATGTTGCACCAGTTGCCATACACATGTTAGCAAAACAGATGCTGGGGAAAAGAGCATTGCTTTGAATATAAACTTAAAAAGTTAAGAAAGGATGAAAAATAACCAAACGCTCGCAAATACACACACGCAAGCCTTTTATATTTTTTCTTAACTTAGTTTGATCTTAAATAAATCTCTGAGTTTGAGTAATTGCAATGAAAAATTAGAAGATTGCTGCACTTTTCCTATCTAATCTAGCCTAGATTTTACATTTTAACTAGATTACAGAGATTGTAGTTTACTACAGTGCATTACTGGTGAATTTTAACATGCCCTTTTCCCATTGTGACAAAGCTTCTACTTAAACTCAGTGGCTGTGTCTAGACTGGCAAGTTTTTCCACAAAATCATCTGCTTTTGTGGAAAAACTTGCCAGCTGTCTACACTGGCCGCTTGAATTTCCAGAAAAGCACTGACGATCTCATGTAAGATCGTCAGTGCTTTTCCGGAAATACTATGCTGCTCCCGTTCGGGCAAAAGTCTTTTTCCGAAAGACTTTTGCACAAAAGGGCCAGTGTAGACAGCACAGTACTGTTTTCCGCAAAAAAAGCCCCGATCGTGAAAATGGCGATCGGGGCTTTTTTGCAGAAAACCGCGTCTAGATTGGCCACGGACGCTTTTCTGCAAAAAGTGCTTTTGCGGAAATGCATCCTGCCAATCTAGACGTGCTTTTCCGAAAATGCTTTTAACAGAAAAGTTTTCCGTTAAAAGCATTTTCGGAAAATCATGCCAGTGTAGATGTAGCCAGTAGGTCTTGCACTTCCTGGCAGATTTGCTTGCCTCAGAGGCTCACAGCAGCCCCCCCTCTCCCACCCCTCCACACCACCACCACCACCATTTTAGGCACCACAGTTGGGCATTAGTTTGCTCTTAACTGAGCTCTTTTCATCATTGGCCAGCATATGATATAAGGGAAGAATAGTCTCCACAGTCTTTTTCCCGAGTGGAAATGTCTAAATGAATGTTGGGGGGAACCTAGGCCCACCCTCTACTCTAGGTTACAGCCCAGGGCCCTGTAATAGCAGCTGACTACGTGAGTCCCTGACACCTGCTATAAGACAGTTCCAAGACCCCTGGGCTACTACCCCAGACCTTCCTTCTCTCTGGTTCATCCTCGTAGGCTACATCTAGACTACAGGACTCTTTCGAAAGAGGCTTTTTCGAAAGAATCTTTCAAAAAACCTTCTTTCGAAAGAGAGCATCTAGACTACAAGCAGATGTTTCGAAAAAGCGAGCTGCTTTTTTGAAAGAGCGTCTAGTAATGCAGGGCTTAGAACACACAAACTCCAAACTCCTGCATGCTAATCCCAGTTCTGCATAAGAAACTACAGGCAGTCCCCGACTTACGCGGATCCGACTTACGTCGGATCCGCACTTACGAACGGAGCTTTCTCGCCCCGGAGGTCGGGGCGAGAAAGCCCCGTTCGTAAGCTGCTCCGGTGCCCCTGGTCTGCTGGAGACCGTCTCCAGCAGACCAGGGGCACCGGGCTGGTTCCCGCGCTTCTGAGGCTTTGCCCTGGCAAAGCCTCAGAGGCGTGGGACCCCCCCCGGGGCTGCGGCTTCAGTCCGGGGGCCTGTGGTCTGCTGGGGACTCGCCCCGGAGGTCGGGGCGAGAAAGCCCCGTTCGTAAGCTGCTCCGGTGCCCCTGGTCTGCTGGAGACCGTCTCCAGCAGACCAGGGGCACCGGGCTGGTTCCCGCGCTTCTGAGGCTTTGCCCTGGCAAAGCCTCAGAGGCGTGGGACCCCCCCCGGGGCTGCGGCTTCAGTCCGGGGGCCTGTGGTCTGCTGGGGACCGTCCCTGTACAACCAAACTACTATTTTTTACTGTACAACCAAACTACTATTTATTTTTTGTACTTTCTCATTTTTTTTTTTTTGGAGTAAATTGGACAAGTCGCCAAATTATGCAATTGTATTAATATCACGATATGGACTTACTCAGGAAAGCATCAATTTAAATCAATGGATATTTTGCACAGAATTGGGTAGAAAGACAGAATTTTCAGCAGATAAGAAGAAATCTTATTACATACATGAAGCTACTGTGAAGTACTATACATTTATCCATAAAACTGAATAGTCTAATCAATTAATAACATTTTTCTAGATTTTAATAAATAATTACATATTTCTATATTATGAGTTTTCTCTAATGTCTGACTAGAAAAGTTTGGTTATGCTACAAAAATAAATGTATTGTATTTTTTTTAATATAAAACATCTGCAGTAAGCACAACATTCATTCAGGAGTTAATTTTGTTCTGAGTAATTTGCTAAAAACATTGTAGTTTTTATTATTAAGAAAGTTTGACTGATTTTAGTTACCATTCTCTTACTTTTACCCTGTCACTGAAGAGATATTATTACAATATGATCTATATCATGGATTTGTTTGTCCAGAAACAGAGTATTTATTATTTTCTACAGTTTGCATCAAAATATTCCCCATTTCTGCAATGACTGCCATAAGAAGTGTAACAAGACAGGACACTTTTAAACAAACAGAAAACTTATGTATATTTAAATATTCCTTAAGTTTCTTATAGCTGGTACCAGTTAAATTCTCTACCTCAGTTCTATTCTGTAAGAATAAAATATAGAAGAATATTTTTAAAAATTGAAAATATTAGTTACAACTTTTAAAAAATATTCACAGAAATTAATAAATGGAATTGTGACTATTTATTTAAACATAGTATTAATAATCATAGTTTTCACATTTTAGCACATTTAACCAGAATTTCAAAAAGCATCATACAAGTATTAATAAAGTCTCAAACAACCTCACATATATAATAAAAAAATACGATTACTCCCATTTTACAGATGATGAAACAGTAAACCTGTAATAGAGCTAGGAATAAAATGCATATCTCCAGTCTTCCACTTCTTAGCATTAGCTACAAGAACAGCCTTCCTTTCCAGAGGATAGTGAAATACTTTTATAAACTATGGCCCCTGATCCTTCAGAAGGCCTACACATACATGCTTCACTTTATGAACTGTAAGTATCAGTGATACATGAGTGCTGAAGTTAATAAAAATCTGGCCAATTTCAGTGATAAGCAATACTGACCCGTACAAAAAGTATAGCATTTTCAATACACAGATATCAAGGCTTCATGGCAGATCCTCAGCTTCATGGCAGAATTGTAACATGAAATTATTTGGGTTGGAGAAAACGTGTAGTGTATCTTGTAGTTCATCATATGTCAGCAATATTTTGATTATACCAACTTATCTTATTTTCCATAGCTGCAACCAACATCAGTCCAAAGATGGCATGTCTTATTATTGTATTTATCACCTGAGTCAGAGGTCTTAATCTAGCCTGGGAGTCCTGGCAGGCCAGGAGGCAGTCCATTCCCATACCCCAAGTCCCACCCCTTCCTGCCACACCCCATCCCATCACTCCCATGAGACCCCTGAGGGACAGAGCCTTGGAGAATATTGTGGGGGTGGCTTGGTGCAGGAGGCATCAGTAGTTGGGCCCCCAGCACTCCCTGCATCAGTAGGAGCCTCAAGGAAGCAGAGTGAGTGCACCCACTGAGTGAGCTCTGCTTTCCCACAGCTCCAAGAAGTGGGGGGGGGCCCACACCGCCCCCCCCCCCACACACACACACATTGACAGCTTAGACAAACACTTGTCAGGGAGGGTCTGAATAACACTGCCATGAGTGCTGGACACTGGATTACATGACCTTCCAGTCCTATAATTCTATTATTATTCTTTTGCCATTAGCCGTTGGAATTTTCAACCTAACATGGAGGCTGACAGACCATAGAAAAGGCAAAATGATGCACATTCAAAAAGGAGTTTGCAACCTGACACAGACATTTAAAGTTTATAATTTCTCACAGAATTCATAAATTGTACAGACTAATTCCCAATTTATCATACACATATATCCTGTGTATTGTAGAAAAACTTGGCCCAAACTTGTGAAAGAGCTTATGGATACTATGGCCATAGGAGCCAACATAGCCCAGGCTGGGGACCATATTAATGAGAAACACCTACCCAGCCTGCAGAATACATAG